TTTGTGTTGTTTTCCCTGTATAAATTTTTTTTCTCATTTTTAAAAGAGATGAAGTGGATAATAGAGCAATTTTTCAGATTGCGTATTTTTTTTCTTAATTATTTAATGATGGGGCATGGGATTAAGTTATAACTTATAAAATTTGATTAGTTACCGCTTTAAAACCATTGAATTTCTTGACCTAAATGGAAAAAATAAAAATGTACAAATGGTTGGTCCTTTCTAGGCAACTTATATAAGTCTTAGTGGAGGTGATTTTTCCAACATATTTTAGAAAGTGTTCTGATTGTCAATAAGGTTGTGCACCATGACATATTTAAGGATAGCATTGCTTAATTTTAATACTTTGGAGACCTAATTGAAATTAGAATAGTATATACCTCTTGCCTCTCTCTCTTTCTTCTAAACTCTAGAAATTATATAATCAAACTAGTCTGTGGCAATATCTCATGTGGAATCCATCCCTCGTCATTCATGGAATTCAGTAAAGTAGGTGATAACTCTATTATTTTCAATAAAAAATGAGGAATAAATTGAAATTTGGGCCAGGACAACATAATTTAGACGTTTGGGGATTTAATTGAACTTGAAATTATTTAATTGATGGAATCAGGGACCTAATTGATAAATGTCAGAAGTTCGGGGACAAAGTGAAAAATAGTCATTCCCAAGGACACCAACGGCGCCGTTTTGAAGAGCTGTTCATTATCCCTTTCATTTCGCGCGGAGAAAGCTTATTCAACAGGGAAAACTGCAGCAATTCGATCCGATCAGGGACCGCATCTTTTGCCCACGATCCCGCTCGTGGATTGATTAACAGTCCTGTAAATGCAGGACTGTAACAGGGACTGGTTTTTGGGCAATCTCTCTGGCTCTATAAAAGGTAGAGCAGAGCAGAGGCAAGGACGGAGAAAAAGACAGGGGAGAACGCAGAAAAAAAAAACCGGGGGACGACGAGCGGGAGACCAAGAGAAAAACAGAGGGGAAAACACAAACACAGGGACGTCAAACAAAGAAGAAACCCAGACGGGGAACAGAAAAGGAGAAAAAAAAACCAACAGGGAGAAAAACCAGAGAAGCACGTGATAGAAAGAGAGAACGGAGAGAGAGAGAGAGAGCCAGAGACACAGTACCACAGACAAGGAGGAACAAACAGGGCAAACCAACACAGAATCAGTCAAAACAAATTCACAGAAAGCCGTGAGCATAAAGAGAGGAAACGACAGAACAAAAAAAAACAAATATACAGAGAAGAGAAGGAAAGAAAAGTAGAGGAGCAACACAGAGACGAGTATTGACTCGGCCATTGTCTTCATCCCTGCAGAAAAAGAACCGAAATCATCAGTTTCCAGAGAGAACCGACATCATCATCATCTTCGTTCGTTCATCACTAAAAAAACCCAGAAGCAGAGAGGAGACGAATGAACAGGAGGAACAGCCAGCCACCACGCCTTCGTCATCGTCTTCGTTCCTGCTTCCAGGTAAGCTTCCCGCTCCCTTTCATTTATAGTTGTATAAGTACAGGGAGAAGGTAATTTTAATTACCTTCCCACTGTGCACAGCATGCGTGAATAGTTCACGCATGCATGCCTGAGCCAGCCGGGTCACTGGCTTAGGCCAGTGACGGGTCAGGTTGGCTGGGTTTAGCCCAGCCCATACTGGCTGAGCTGGGCCCAGCCCCCAAAAAAACTAAAAATATAAAAATAAAAATAAATTTATTATATTGAGTTATTCACTTATGCTAGAGTCCAGAATAAAAATATTGATGTAAATTTATTTTATTTTATTATATTTTACTTTTATTTAGCTACATAAAAAAATAAAAAAAAATTGTGTATGCTTAAAAATAAATTTATTTTATTTGTTTATTCACTTGACGTCAGAGTCAGGAATAAAAATACTGATTTAAATTTATTTTGTTTTTATATCTACATAATATTTATTAATGCTAGAGTTAAAAGTATCTGTAGTTGAATATTCATTAACGTTAGAGTCATGAATATTATATGTAAACCATCATAGCATAAACCAACAAAACATTAGCAATTTATAATAAAATCAACAATGCAGCCTGCTTCAGATATAACACTCAAAAAATGATAATATCTTTCCTTTTACATAATCAGTCTTGTACTATAAAATCTCTATTGACCAGTTAAGGTTCCTAGTAACCATAATACCAAGTAGCGACTCTTTAAACAAGACCATTCCTCATCAAAAAATAAAATGCTAAAAATCTATTTTTTTCTGTGAAATTTTTAAAGTCGCCACGATGTCCAAGTGTGACAATATTAATAAAAAAGAGAAAGTTGTTACAATATATTTGGGTGTTAGTTGTTCATGGCATATGTCGTATCTTGGTGGACATCTCAACAGGGGGCTAAAATGTATATTAAAAATTGGGGATCACTATCTAGTAATTAGATAAAACTAGGTATTCTAAAATGTGTACTTGTTCTAGAAATTAAAATAAAGGGTTAGTTATGCTTAAAAAAGAAACAATATCACCCTTATAACATTTTTTCTTATGAAAGATTATCTTTACTATGTGTTTTCTTCAAAAAATATCTTTTGGATTGTCTTTAATTATCCTAATTATTTTTAGTTTATTTTCAATTTATGACTATAATCATCTCGTGAGAAATTTAACGTCAGTTCTAAAAATAGAAGATATTTTAAAGATGTTGACATTAAATTCAAAAAAGAAATTTTTATTGAAATTTCTAAAGATAGGCATAACCCATATTTGATTTTAAAATCTAGACATAGATCCTTTTAAAAGAGGATATGTCAAAAACAATGTTTATCCCTAAAAAAATTTCATTGAAGTTACTAAAGATAGACATTAGACCTATATAAATGATAAAAATTAAGCTTTGAACCATTATTAATGATGTAAGTTGGATTTTAAACCCAAGTGTTAGCTACATGGGTCTTAATAGGATTTGAATTTCAGTTTATTTATTTTTATTGGTTTTTTATATTATTAATTTTTTAATAATTTTTTTATTTTTTTATCATACGAGAATATCACTACAAAAATAGTTTTTTCACAATATAAAAAAAAACCACTAAAATATCAATATACACAACATTTGAATACACAAATGACATAAATACTTATTCAGGATTGCAAATTAAACTTTGAGGTGTAAAAACAACAGAAGTCGCTGGAAAATCAGTTTGGGACACGTGTCGCGCATGCCAAGATATTCGAGCATATCCTTGCTGGCTTCATGGTTTTGCTTGATCTGGGGGACAAAATCGTGGCATAAAAACATGAGATTTTAGGTTATAATTGTAGCTGGCATGCTGGATAATCATCACCATGTGATTTTGTTTCCGTTGGGGATCATTCAAAGCTGCATATTGATGCCAATAAAATGCATGAAGGAGGCTTGAAACCTGGGACTTTTGGCTGGAAAAGATGAAAGAAGAATTTGCAATTAAATCCCTGAATTTCTCTAATTTTTAGTGTAGTCCTTGGTCTTTTGAATTTTAATTTTTTGTTCCATTCAATTAAGGTTCTAATCTTGGATTTTCTTTTCAATTTCATCCTTAGTTTAATTAATTGGACCCTTTAATTTCTCCATCATCTCTAATCTAGTCCTTAATTTCTAGAATTATACAATTTTGACCAATCCAACTCACAATTTCAAATTTCTCTTCAAATATGTCCCTCATTGACTTTTTAATTTGGTCAAGTGTTTCCAATTCATCATTGGTTCTTCAATTTTTATAATCTTAGCCAAGTTAAAGTCAAATTAAATTCTTTTACTTCAATTTCTCTTCCAATAAGTTTTCCATTGCAACTTAAACTATTCTTGGATTTAATTGATCTTCCCAAAATTAATCTTTAACTTGTGAAATTCAATCATTGGTCCAATTTCACCCCAACTATATTTATATTTTTTATATTTTATTTTTCTTTTGTATTTTTGTATTTTTTTTTGTTTTATGATCATTGTAACTTAATTTGACACATAAAAATTAAATAAAAATGAAAAAAATAAAGAAATGATTAAATTATACTAAATTTACTAAAACTGCATATTTTATTTTTGGATTTTTGTTTTTATTTGAAAATATAAAAAAAAAAGGTTAAAATTTGAATTATGACAATTATCATGAGATGGAGACAATAGAGAAAAACATGTTTGGTTGGACAAACTAAGACCTAGACATAAAAATAAAATTGTTCAAGTGAAAGTTTTTGAAATAAATTTATGTATTTTCAAAATAGAAGGTACAAATAAAATATTTATTTAAAAACAATATATATTATATTTTATTCCTAAAATATCTTTTAAAAAACTCTTAGCTTTAAAATTATCTCATCTTTTTAAGTAAATAACCCTATCAGTTTTGACTTAGAAAACAACAACTATCTTCTTCTCTTAACAATCACAGATATTTTTCATATTAGAATCATCTCTCTTCCTACTATTACTACTCAGCCAATTCCTTGCTTCACTAGATTTTCAAGTACAAAGCGAAGAAAGGCAGGAACCTTCGTGCAATTAAGCAAGTGATAGCTAGTGCCGGTCTCTGTTTATTTTCCATTGATTGGCATTTTTATTTTGACCAGATGTTCATATCTTGCTGGAGCAGTAGTGGAAATTGAAAAAATTTGCGATTGATCTGATCTCTTGCTTTTCTTCTGATAAATAATAGTTCGAATATTTGATTGTTTTCTTCATTCTACCGGTAGAAGCTTAGAAAAATATTGCCCGAAACAAAATCTACTTTTATAATGCATATTGTAATTCATTTAGTATTACAATATTGATTAAATAATTTTTTTATATTTTATTTTTTCTTATCCATTGTCAATTAAATATATATAATAAATAGATAATTATTCTGTTTAATATACCATTATCAAACACAATTACTCTATTTCAAGACGCTAATTATCTTTGTTTTTTTTCTAATGTGGTACAGTAATGAAACGCTAATTTATTAATACATGGTTTGATCGGGAATACATATAATGTTTTCTAGGTTGTATTATTAGAAGGCTTGAACAAGTCCAAGCAGCATTCTTCTAGAAGTCCCTTGTTCCAAAACTTCTCATAGTATTCACCGTATGTAAAATCTCTATAGACTGCAGGATGCTCGTCGTCGACTAGCTCCTTTGGAGGCCCGATGACAGCATCCGGTGAAGGACAATAGAACGTCGGTATAGATATTCGTTCTTTATCACTGTTCACAACTGCTCGGTGAAGCACACTCTTGTAACGATCATTGCTAAGCACCTTATCATAATAAAATAAAATAAAATAAAAGAATTCGTTAGAATAAGGGGAAAAAAAAAGGTTGTTAATTGCGTTGTGGAACTCATGCTTAATAATTAATCATCAAATTAAGCTCGTGGACTTGCAGACGTATATAACAGTGATTAGAGGTTGTTGGAGCTTTTTTTCCAATTTAAAATTATCAATATAAATCCAATAGTGCGGTAGGTCCATTGCTAAATATTCATTTCCC